TTCCAGATCTTAGCTATTGTAAACTGCACTGCTATGAACATAGGGGTACATATATTCTTTCTGATTAGTGTTTCAGGATTCTTAGAATATATTCTTAGAAGTGAGATCACTGGGTCAAAAGGCAGCTCCATTTTTAATTTTTTGAGGAACCTCTAAACTGTTTTTCATAGTGGTTGCACCAGTCTATATTCCCATCAGCAGTGTGTTAAGGTTCCCCTTTCTCCACATCCTTGCCAGCACAAGTCGTTTATTGATGCTTAATCCTTGATCTTGCACTTGATTACCAATTTTCAGAATAAAGAGTTTGCCCAGGCAACTACTAATCTTCTTTCGATCTCTATTGATTTGCCTTTTCTAGAGATTTCATATGAAGGGAATCATACACTATATAGCCTTTGCATCTGGCTGCTTTCACTTAGCATTGTTTTTTTTAATTTTAATTGAGATGTAATTCACATACCATAAAAGTCACCATTTTGAAGTATATAACTCAGTGGTTTTAGTGCATTCACAAAGTTGTTTAACCATCACCACTATCTGATTCCAGAATATTTTTTAATTTTAATTTTTACTTTTTAATTGATGTTAGAGAAAGGGAAAGAAAGAGGAAGAGAGATAGAGAGAGAAACATCGATCAATTGCCTCCTGTACACACCCCCACCAGGGATCGAACCCACAACCTGGGCATGTGCTCTGAATGGGAATCGAACCCCTTTAAAAAAAAATTTATCTCTGTTGTTGAAAGTATTACAGATATCCCCCATTTTTCCCCCATTGATCCCCTCCATCCTCATCTGCCCCCCAGGCCTTCCCCACACTATTTTCCATGTCCATGGGTTGTGCATATATGCATATAAGTTCTTCGATGAATCTCTCCCCACCCACTCCCCCACCCCGCCTTCCCACTGAGATCCCTCAGTCTGTTCCATGCTTCTATGTCTCTGGATCTATTTTGTTCCTCAGTCTATTTTGTTTATTAGCTACCACATATGAGTGAGACCATGTAAAATTGAATCAGAAGAATCAGAAAACCTGAATAGACCAGTAACAACTGATGAAATCAAAGCAGAAATAAAAAATCTCCCAGCAAACAAAAGCCCTGGTCCAGATGGCTTCACAGGGGAGT